TCTTGATAATATGGCTGACGAATTATTTGCTAAACCAGGAGTAATATTAATGACATGACGTCTCGACTCGCACCGATGCATGATGGTTATAATCACTTTTCATTAAAACTACTTTTTAAATTGTTGACACGAACTTTCCACTTAGGCATAGATTTTATCGTTGTATTCACGAATAGCGAGCGGAAGAAATATAACAGGAATGCACTGTGGGTCCAGGAACGCTGTATTGTACTCGATTTTTTTATAATCGACGCAAACTATAGATAAGTGCTTAGAGCCAGATAGGAGAATTTATAGTGGAATAGTCACTGTAGAGAGGCGAAAAGGAGTGGAACATGAGCAGAAGACCATTTTTCATGATAAATTCTTTCCGAAATGAAACCTTCGAACCACTGTCTGTAAGTGTTTCTGGGAAATTCATATCGCAACGCAGAATGCAGGCGCTTAGCCCCTTTTTTGGAATGCGTTCAGTAGCAATGGTCTGCCTACGACTACGCGCCCGTTTTTAAATCACTTAATTTATTATAGAACGTATAGCGTCATAAATGGAACTAACTTTTAACATTTCTAACCGATTCGTGTTCGGGGTGGCGATAGCAATGGTAAATGAACGACCAAAAAAAGGTGACTGGTTGGTCAAGAATTACGGCATAGAAACATAACTGCGTGTTCTTTTTGGGGAATCCTGTCATAAGTATCTAGGACACATCTTTCTCAGCATCGTGCATGTGGTAAACTTGAAGTTGCATACGAAAAATGTGTGTAGTGAATGCAAGGGGCATGATTACCCATTTCTGTTATGCGAGACACCTAATGTGTTCGTCTTGCGGACTCTTTGCTGCAAGATCTGGAAGGGTAAGTTCCGTAATCTTAGGCGAAACACACTTCTGCGAATTTTGTGTCGATGGTTAATCTTAGCTTTTAGAGTATTGATCTTTACGATACTGTGAACCTCGTTCTAAGAAGAAGGAGATGAACATGTTGTAGGTCGCCAAAGCGTCGCGTGGGCGTTTCCTTGAATACTGTTTGGAAGCTTTCCAAAGGGAGGTACTGTCCTCAGGCGATCGAGGACATCCGCGAGGAGGTTGAAAGCAACTTTCATGTTCGAGGTACGTAACACTGTAACAGCTGAAAGCTCACAATGTTGGCAATGTGTGTTGGCTCACATGTGTGTTGTTATCAGTCTAGCACCTATTTAATTTGACGACGACGAAAACATCAAACAATTATTAAAAACAACAAACAATTAATAAATAAATTAGTATTTTCATCTTTGCCAAGTGTTAAAGTTTCACAAATGTCTTACATTTTTGAAGGATAGAGATTTTCATTCTCGCATTTAAGTAAATAAAAAGAGAAATTCATTAGTAACCTTCTTAAACACTTGAATGAAATTGTTGATTGAAATCAACTTTGTGAAGAGTAACTAATACTTAAAACCGCTTTTAGTGAAATAAACAAATCTTCAAGTCCTTTTCAAAATATTAACAATTTCTTTTGTTAAAGCTTTGTTTAATTGTTTATGTCATGTTTGGGATTTGGATAAGTTCATTGCCTATCTCCGATGTGAGGCTTAATTGCTAGATAATTTCAATGTTAAGCATCACGTGGGGCGCTTGTTATTGCAGCCCATGTACCAGCTCTATAGCGTTGTCAACAACCTGAACATTTCACAAAAACTTTCAAACATTCATTCCTTGGAAATAACAGAGCTCTTTTGCATGTGTTGCGCAGGGCACCAACACGACACTACATCTGCCAACGCCTCTGCTGGATCCTCTTCCTCCTGGACACCACCCGGGAAATTCAGAGTAAGGAGAACCGGCAAGAAATGCGGCACTATAGCACCAAGATAGGCAACAATGGGCTCAGAGGCAATGCCAGTGCTTCGTGCACTTCACTTCACCCGGGAGGTTGTCGGGTTGAACGGTGGCCACGATTTCCACACTAGCTAGATAGAATAATCTGTTGGGAGGAGAATTTAACAGCCAGATTTTTTGTGATAGGTCGCGTTCCGTGTTTTTCTCCGCATAACATGCAACCATGAGGCTTCCTCCTTATGCTGTTCTTCTCTCCTATGGCCCCTAGACATATACCTACTTGCAATAATAAACACACCCACAGGTGCGAACCAGAATGGGAGAAGGCAGCTGGGGCACCTTTTCTCAAAGACTCGCCTTAATATGGGGCCCCGCATTTTCTTTTAAAAGAAAATTACAAGAATCTCTCGAACCCAAATTTTAACGCTAAGTTATTTTTGAGTATAGAGCAAATGAATTCCGTTTTCAACTTCGCGGGAGACAGGGATTCTTTTGTATTTGAAATGGAGCCCCGTGATTTCAACTGCCCCAGGCCCTGCTAACCCAACTCGCAGCGCCTCTTGCATAGCACTCATGTCGGAGCGCCAAGTCGTGAGCCTCTACGACGCGGTGTCCTGGACTGGGGCCGTGCCCCGCCTGATACCAGATACCTGGAGAAAGCTAGTTGCCGCCGTGTAATGCTAGATCGTGGGATATCACGTCCAGCGAAAGGCACGCAGCCACCTCTCTGGATAAAAAACAAACCAAACCTACCCCACTTACGGGACCATGTTATCACACGGCCACGAACGTCAAATCTTCACGGCGCGTGTGTGGTGTTCTGCGGCAGGAACGCGGTGTTCGAGGAGCATGGAAGCCATCACTTCCAGGACTCCGACAGGTCCTTCGCAGCATGGGACCTGGCCGAGAAATGAAGTACCTGGAGGCGTCGTCATCACGGACGGGCTGCGACTCCTACTACCCCAAGCGTGCCCGCTCATCGTGCGGAAAGGTCACCAGAGGACTCCAGCCGGTCAAGCAGAGCCACCCGGGGCCTTCGCCATGCCTTAGAACACGCTCACATCGGGTTGTGACTGACCGCAGTACGCTCTCAGGAATTTGAATTGAATGTAATGCCTTATTTTTACGTGGCACGAGGACCTCCCGGGACCTACGAGACCTGCTCTTCCGTTGACCACGCAAAATTTTTTCGACTAAGCGCTCCCTTAATAACACTAGCGGAGACCAGCCGCGAATTTCATCGGAGACAAGAAAACGGCGATTATGAATTTAGCTGCAAAGGCGCCATTTAGCCTTGAAGAATATTTTCATGCCAACGTAATGCTACTAACATGGCAGACAGCACATATGGCCGCCTGGCGGAACGTTAAGCCACCGTGTATCTTAGTGCGCGGCTCGTCGGATAGCCTGATGACATAAACTACGCACCGAGGAAGCCTACGCAACACGCTTGCCCATGGCCTCCACCTCTACTACTCACTATGCATCTTCTTGCAACAACTCAAACACAGACTGGCTGCTGCCACGTTCATTGAAATGGGTTCAGACATGAGTTGGCAGGGTAAAAGTGCCGCGCAGTGGGAAAAACAGTGCTCAAATCTCGGGCTAGCATGCCAAGCGAGTGTTTGCTTGTTTCAGAAAATAGTATCATAGGTATACTATCGAGTGCTTTGGAAATCTTCGAATAAATTCCCCTCGTGGAGTTAAGAGGTGAACTTTAATTCTGAGAAATTTCCAAATGCACTGAAAATGGTATTAAGAGGACTATTCCACGAGGTGAAATTATGTCCAAAACAGAGTTCAAATGATGTGGCAAATATTGAAAATGAACTGAAAGCGTTATAAAATCAGAGAATTATGTTATACTCGAGCATACGCTGTTTATTTGGAACATACGACATAGCAAATGGATGTATAACGCGCCTCTTAATGATACATGAGTCCATAGTTTATGATTGGCCAGTAAGGTAGAAAACGGGTAAGAAATCGATAGAAAAGGCGATAAACTTTTTTTGAGATCTACCGCAATCATTGATTGGGGCATTCTGTATTAGTTTTGTACATTCTGGAAGTGTATTAGCATTTGTCGACATAATTTACTTCTCTGTATTAGTTTCTAGTTTTTAACCAACAATTCCGAATGCAGAAGACGCTAAAATCACTCACCTAAGTCATCTGATTCCTGGAGAATAGATGGATTTTCTTTCATATATTCTTTCCTCTCACGAATTACCTAAAACATTAGTAAACAAAAACAGTTATGAGAAGCGAATAAAAATGTTTGTCTAAATGAATAATTTAGCTAGCAAGGGTGATTTAACTGCCTTGCTAGCTCAAGGAAACTTGAGCTAGCGAGGGTAATAAACCAAACTAATTTAATAACAATTTATAAATATTTGTGAGATTAAGATCTCTGAGCAACTTTCACAAAAAAAATTGTTATGATATAAAAAGCAGTTTTAGATTGCTTTAAATAACACATTTCCCATCCTTCTTAAAACAATTTGACTACGAAGTTGATTCAAAAATCTCTCTCTTTATTTAATAATTTAATAATAATTTTATAACCCTAATATTCTTTTGTTTAACGAACGTTTAAAGTATCTTACAATGTTTAATTAGTTGGAATTTAATAAGCCCAAAACGCTGATGGGTTAATTTTATTTGGGGTATCCAAATATTTTCAAATTTATATTGTACGTAAGAAATGTCCGAAAGGAAAAGTTAATATTTTGGATATGTTCGTTCACCTAACATCTGCGTTTTGAGGTCGAGGAGTCACTTAAGAAATTGTAACGGGCATTCCAAATATTATTATTATAATTATTATTAGTAGTAGTAGTAGTATACATTCGTATTTTGCGGTAATCTCAATTATGGCTTCCGGGCTGATCGGCCAGTTAAAGAGGGATCCGTAGAATTAAGAATATTGAGATGAAACAGTTGTAATATTGAAACGGTGTCTAGTGTTTCTGGTCTTGGGTCTTTCTTGTTGTATTTCATCCACGTGTCTTAGAGTTCCTATCATTCATCGAGGTAAGTAAATTATTTTCTTTATTGCAACTAACCTCGATGATACGTTACAGAATTTAGAAAGCGTGTCTACGTGATGTTCGCCTCTCGTTAGCTCGTTATTTCTGGCCATTGGTCATTGGAACACAAGATGCATTCACCGTCATGAGTCACGGTCTTACCCGCTTCGTAAAGGAGTGGAGAATGTCCAAGCACTCTTGATACCGCCTGCCGTTCTTCGTCTTGAAGTAGATGAACTCGGGGTGGAGCCACGGTCGCATCAAGCGACTGACGACGAGTTCGGAAATGCTGCAAGGAAAGTGGAATGAAATATGCTTTTAATATTCGCAATTAAAACATGTTTTGTCTTGTGATAATTTTAGTAATGAATGTATTAAGCGATTTTCAAGAATGACGAACAGATTGTCCGTTTCGGGCACAAAATTAATTGATTTCGCTACTTCAGATATTTACCTGGAGATTATCTTATATAAGAGTGTAGGGCAAAGTGCGTTTTGGTAAAGCTTCTTTATTTGATTTGTCTTTAGGAAGTATCTCTTGACTATTGACCCGGAAAGTACTTCAAATTACTCAGATATCGAACATTTTAATGGGAAGTATAAACTATTGAGATTCATGAGAGTGACGTCATAAAGATTTGTGTATTAATCAAAGTACGAAGTACAATGTGCTTCTACGTAAGTTTTGAAGTCGCACGATGTGCAATAGCATTAGTTGGTTTCAGAAAGTGCACAATAGTGCATAATTTCTATTATGATTATTACTATTATTACTTGATTTCAAATCGCTTTGATCCTTTTAACTTACTCGTAAATTGCTGCAACATAAGGTGAACGATCTTTTTCGTCTTGTGCGTTAACGGGCGTTCCCATGGCCGTTTCTGCGAAAAAAGAAACAAATTCTTACTTTTTTTCCATTTTTGTTTTGCAAAGAAGTCGATTGTATTTATATATGTCTGATATTAATTGATATCTTTAATAAGAATTTAAGAATCATAATTATATTGGCTCTTTAATGGTAATTGAAAATCGTGTTCCGTAATTTTCAATATTACTAGTAAACATTTAAAGAAAAATGATATTGCTTTACTTTCTAGCATTTAAGTTACTCTTAGTTTAAAAACCCTGTTTTACAATACTTTTACCATCTTTTTATATTACTCACCACAAATTATGTCAAGAGTACAGCGAGTAATGTAAGGGTAGACATCGAATCCCTTTTTGTTTCCAACTTCTTTTTCCAACTTCTCCACGAGAATTTGACTCTTTTCCACAAAGACGCTCTGGAAGTTCTCCAGAATTTTGAAGTGGAAGGCTGGCGTGATGAGTTTGCGATGTGAATGCCACTTTTGTCCTTTGAGCAAGAAATTGTAGTACAGTTTCTAGGCATTGTTCCATTATGATTTAAATTAATTTCTCTATGAGAGATGTTTACCTGTACTCGTAAGCAATCCAGTTCCCAGCCAAGGTTTTACGAAATCGTATATAAACCCTTTAGAAATGTTGACGGAGCTTCGAAGAATAGCCTGAAGATAAGAAATGTAATTAACGTTTCAAAGTTATTTGAAGAGTTGGTTGAAAATTATCAAATTAACACGAATAATGAAAACATGTGAAATAGTATTTTTATTACGAAAATAATCCCAATAGATTTAAGGACAGTTATTACTGAAATTTCATTTTATTTTCATTTGCTACCACAGCAACCTCTTCCATTCATAATATTTTTTCTTTCAAGTAAATTTATATAGATGATCTCTTTCATCAATAACTTTTTATTGAAACAATAGATTGACTTCTGAAAAAATCTGCATCACCTTGTAAAATTACGATGATCTTTATACTTATATGAATCAAGAATTACAACAATTGCTCTAGTCCTTGCAAAAGACGAAACATATCGTCGAAACATTGTACGTATTAAAACAAGTGAAAGTATGTAAAATAAGGCATCAATTCTGTTCAAAATAAAAGTAAAATTTTAGACATATCTGTCTAAATTTAATGTGATTGTTTTAATAAAAACAAGATAATTTATTAGACAGTTGCAACCAATTAACAATACGAAATAGTAATTTATTTGGATTTGCGGAGGTGAATATAGAGAGTTGGGATTCAACATCTTTCGTGTTTGAAACGCAAGAATCTTACCTCGATGTGTTCTGCGTCATGGAAGTGCACTTCAGGGAAAGTGCCGGTCCATGTTTTATAAATGCGACCAAATTCAAGAGCGGTGGAGGTTACTCGTTTGAAGAAATCTGTTAGAAAGAAAAATACGTAAAATATTTCCAACTGAACATTATACTCAATTTTTGTACCATTTAAAAATATAATTTTTGTTCATCTGTCTTTAGATACTTCGCCATTCGATTTATTTATAATCATATAATCATATTTATAATCATATTTCGAATTCAAATCGAAAAGCAATTGATATTACTGGTAGCATTTGAAGTTCAAACATAACGTAATATTCTTCTTACAGCGAGTTCCTGAAATCTTGAAAATGGTTACAACTGAACATAGTCGAGTCTGTCCGATGATTTTTAAATAAAAAATGAACCGCTGCCGATACTACTATCGAAAAAGATTACTTGGGGTAAAGAAAGTTTTTGAGGAGCTCACCTTTCCTGTCCATGAAGAAGAGCCTGTAGGCCGTTCCTACCAGCGGTAGGGAGATAGGGCCTGGGATGTTCCCCAGAGTTTGCACGATGTACTTTCGCTTGGGGTTCGTGACTCGAATTGCCCAGATGGCTAACAACGCCACTAGGGCAAACAAGCAAAGTGCCGTGACCGGGTCCATTCTGAAACTGAGAAAACATTCGAAATTAATTTCCAACTAACAAGATATGAAATATATGTATTGGTATTACATACATTCTTATATGAAGTAGTCAGGGGCGGTTCCATTCGATCTTTTTTTTTTTTTTGTGTCTGGAGAGGCATAATAGATTTTTGTTACATAGTAAACATATTTGTTATTATTTTGTATATTGTTTTTGTAGTGTTTATATGATACTATACAATATTATTTTTTAAATTATTACATAATTTTAACACAAATATTTAATCAATTTTGCCAAATGAAGGAATGTAACAAACAAAATCTCTAGGCCTGGGGGGGGGGGCGTGGTTACCCTTGCCCCGCCCCTTTGATTCGTACTGAACGTAGTACTAATTTCATGACTGACTTCGTTAAGAGATAGACGAGAAATGTTATTAATTAGGTCCCTACTTAATGCGTCTACTATCCTTAATTCTTTCTCTAAGCATAGTTCCACTGTGGTGCGGACAGGAAAAATATTAAGTAATCAGCCCATAACCCACCTTGGAAACGTATCGGGTACGTATTTCTCACAAACAAAATATTGCGCTAACAAAATATAACGAGAACCTATTGCTTAAATGTGCGCTTCAAAGAAAGATGTAGAAAAATAGACAAGTTCTTTCTGCTAATTATAGAACTGGATTTCAAGCATGGTTATTAATTTAAAAAATCCGCGCGTATTTCATACATTCATTGCTTTTTACAATTTTTGCACTGTTTTAGATATTATTTTACAAATTGCACAAAAGTGTGCCTGAACGTCAATGTGATTTATGGTATTTTATGAGATGATTTTGAAAATAAAATTTTAAAAACGAATTTGAACGTTTATTTTGAATCTGTCATGCCACTCAAAAAACTGACGATTTGGGTATTACGGTATGTGAAATAACATTTTTAGAGTTATTTTTACACACGATTAACGAAGTTTTTTATGGTATTTTACCCTCGCTAGTAAGCCAGATAAAAACCAGTGGAGCAACAGAATGGCACAGATTTTCTCGTTCTAGCTAGTTTTCTAATATGTTTAGTCTGTGGAATGTTTTCAGTTTTGCGCCACCCTCTTCTTTGGTGCCACCTATTAGTACCTAAAAGGCAATTTTTCATATTTCCTCAATTTTTTGGTTCCTTTAATGGTAGAAATGAAATACGACTTCAAGAATATTATAAAAGAATAAAACCTGGTTCTACGCGCAAATTTTCCTTGAACGATTTGGAGCCGTTTATGCAGAAAATATCGTTTGAGCGTTTCTGAACTTGCACAATTTTTAGCTCGTTTTCAAGAAAAATTTTGAGTTTTCGAGAAACTTCATTGAAAATCACTTGGAACACTTTTACTCCCAAATACAATAAAATGTAAAAAACGCCCGTTAACGTAAATATTAACGACGTGAGGTATATTAAAATAATACACTCGTGTATTTTTTTTAAATGAAAAGAATAAATCAAAGTAGTGTTAATATCGTGTTATTTAGTGCATTTTGTATCTTCCGTTCAAAACGTTTAAAGAAAACAATTGAAACCTTATATGAAAATGCAGAATTTTGAGCTAATTTTCACATAAACGTTTTAAGTTTTGGACAAACTTCATACCACATTTGAGCAATTTTTGAGAAAATCTTGTTTTTAATATTTTTTAATATTGCCAATAATTTAGTCAAAACTACACGAAAAATACTACATTTTTGAAAACTGATTACGACATTAATTAAAAACTAATTGGGAAGAATAAATTTCATTTGAAGAAAAACAAAACACTTGTCTTCAATATTGTAGTTGTAGGAAGACGAAAAAATCCAATTTTTTGAATTTTCGAAAATTTCGAGATATCAGTGAAATTCGGACCTACGTCTTCTTTATAAGTGCATTTCACTCTACTTGTAAGAACATTTTTTTTAAAATTTGGATCCAGATTTGAGATTTTTTTTAAATGTCTCAGGGATTTCATATAAGAAACCTCAAAATTTAAAGAATTCTGTTCGAAAGCACTGGGCTTTTGCGACGAACCAGAACAACCGGGGAATATTTATTTTGGAAAAAATTCTAGAAATGGTTTAGGCGCTAGTGGTGATCACGGACGAACGGACGCACAGACAGACAATTTCAATAAGATCTGAAGAGAGAAACTAATCGTTTTCTAGAACCACCCTTTCTTACAATAGCCGTCCGCTGCGCGAAGTGCAATTATTTTCCGAAAGTATCCTTACCTCTTGTTCTCCGCAACTTCAACAAGTGCAGCCGACCTCCCTAAACAGTGGTCTACGTAGGCGCACCGCAGCCTGAATCCGTGAGCCAGAACACTGCAGGTCGTTTATATAGCGAAGTGCCCCGTTCCCAAGGAAATGCACTGGCGGGGACGATAAGGTGTGGAGTGTGGGTGATCGCCAACGGCGACCTTCCCGCGGAGCGTGAACACGTGCAAGGGAGTCCACGGCGCCCCCACGAGGGCCCGGCCCCCCGCCCACGCGGGCCCCCCTCCGAAGCCGCGACCAGTCCGCCTTATCACCCCCTCCCCCCCATCGCTGGAATCAGCCTTTGCGCTTGAGAGGCACTTCATGTGACGACACCGTTTCTTAGCCGCCGCGATACGGCGAATATTTACAATGGAATAATTATCGTCTCTTACGTGCTCGTTGCTAGCTCTTGGTCAGCGAGCTTGCTGTCCACTACGCGGCCCCTGGTTCGAATCCCTGTCGAGCCAAGACTATAGTGGGCGTTTTCGTTGCAATATCCCAGTATACATTGCTGTGTGACGATGAGAAAATTCACTTCTCAGGTTGAGAAGACCGGAATACAGCGTGGGGACGTCTACGTGCTAACCACACGAACTCCCTTAACCAATGTCCGCGAGGCAGGGACGTCGCCGGTAGGCCTGAGCCCGTTCACGGGCTGTCGCGCAAAGTACATACATACCGTCTATTACACATAAATAGGTACATTTTCCATTCCGAAAATTTCTGCTTAACCCAATGATTAGATGCTTTTAATTAGTGTCGACTAAGGGCGACCTAGATGGCCTAGGTGGCTACAGCGTGGTCACGACTGATACGAATCCCGCCGATCGTCTGTAGGATCGGTCTGCAGAAGCAGCGACTCAGCACCTCGGTCTGTAGGATCGCGAAAATGAGTCCCGAGTGGGCATGGTTGTTTGTCCCTTGTCCTTCATGTACGTGTGTTGTCGCAGAAAGCCTCGTGAGTTTGCTGACCACAGACCAAGGAGCCC